TCCATGGCGAGGCGGCGCCGGGCAGTGCGGAGCGGAGCCGCCGCCGCCGCCGCCGGCCCGAGCCCGAGGGAGGGGGGAGGCGGGGGTAGGGCGGGGCGGAGCCGCGAGGGGCGGAGCCGGGGCCGCGGGGGAGGGGAGGGGGCGGGAGCCCCACCTCTGCCCGCGCACACTCCCGGCGCGCCTCGCACGGGTCCCGCGCCCGGGAAACTGAGGCCGCTGGCTCTGGGACGGCCCAAGGTCACGCGGCTCGAGGCCTCGGAGATCCGATCAAGCCTAGTCCCAGAAGGGGAAACTGAGGCCCGCGAAAAAGAGGCACGCGCCCAAGGTCATCGCCGCCGCGCGCGACCTTGACGAGGGGCCTTCTCCTGGCGCTTCAGTTCGCCTCTGTCCAGAGGACACAGCGGGGCGGTAACCACTGACGCTGGGGCTCGGAGAAGTGGAGCCGCCCCCATACTAGCCTCCATCCTTTCTATAGGTTTGAGAATTTCCATAATAAAAGGCCACACGAGCCCTTGCTTTGTCACTTGAGCCCCCGGACAAAGACGTGTTGTGTGGGGAGCGGCAAAGTGGGGTCAGGCCAGGAGTCTCCAGGTCCCACCGTGGCCCCCTCTCCCCCACCTCCTGCATATGAGGAAACTGAGGCCGAATTGGGCCAATAGGAAGAGCCACCCAAGGGTTCTGAGGATCCCCACCTTCAAACAAGGCCCTAAAGTACAGTGGGGGGGCGGGGGGGGGCTCTCCCAAAAGGCTGGTGGGCTTTAAAGTGGGGAAGTGCCCAGGGTCACAGGGGGACCCAGGGTCTGCCACCCCTTCCCACCGGATGCCCACATGTGAGCCCCGTTGGGCTACCCCATTTCTCTGCCCCTTGGGCTCAGCCTCCAGCCAGCCCCCGCCCCATAGGCCCCCAGATCTGGAAAAACACTCGAGGCTCTGCTTCTGGGGCTAGAGCCAGGCTGGGGAGTGATTCCTGGCGTCAGGTGACATAGGCCACAGGCCCAGGATTCTTCCCAGCCTCCACTCCCCACCCCAGCTCAACCAGCGCATCCTGCACAAAGGAGAGATGGGGAGCAGAGATAAGGAAAGGCCTGGAGATACAGGGAGAGGGATGGAAGACCACCGCTAGCCTCCAGGGACCCTCTGGCCTTCTTAGCGCTTTCAGGCCTGACATCATATTGGGTGACTTCACCCATCTGGAGGTCAGGACCATGAGGGTGGAGATGTGACATGTCCCTGTGCACAGTAGGTGGGACTCAAGGGCATTGAGGGATGGGCCCATCTGAACAATGGGTGGGCTGAGCCGGGCCATCTCCTGTCCCCCTGCAGGCTGTCCTGAGCCCTGGGGGTCCTTCCAGCGGCCACCTCTGCTGTGTCTTCAGTCAGACCCTGCCAGACCCACAGCCAGATGGGTGGACAGGCTGGGCCGCCGTCTGCCCTGAGTCTGCGAGAGAGAAAGAGAGGGGCTGGGCAAGCAGCAGAGTCGGCAGTGCCAGGCTGTGGCCCGCCCAGGCAGCTGTGTGTTCCAGCTGAAGGGGGATCTTTCATGCTCGCCCTGGGAAGATGTCAGTCCAGGCAGGCCGCCAGAGCCCCAGGGCTCTTGGCTGAGAGCAGGGAGGAGGTGCACCCGCAGCCCAGCCCAGGACCCACCAGGCCTGGAGAGGCAGAATGGCATCCCTCCCCCAGGGACCTGGCCTGGACCTTCAAGTCACAGAGGAGGAGAGGGTCCCAGCCCCTCTCCTGAAGACTCCTCCCCAACACACGGGCTCCACCCTGGGCCAGGCGGCCACCAGCCTCTGTCCCTCCCACCCTGTCTCACCACTTGCCCTGGGCCAGAGCATTCTTAGCATTCATTCATTCATTCACTAAATACTTATGAGGCACCTGATGGCGGCTGGGATTCAGAAGTGAACCTCTCAGGCCGCCCCCACCCTGGTGGGGGGTGACAGTCAACACAGCACATGTGATGTTTAGCAGACATTGTAGTGTCCGTTAGAAGGGGGTGAGCTCAACCTGAGCCAGGACAGGGGATGAGGTGTTGGGGGGATGTCTGAAGCCTCGCAGAGTGGGTAGTGTCAGAGCCAGGACCTGAGGGGAGGATGGAGCCCAGAGCGGCCGGCAGGTGTCGTGGCCTGTGCAAAGGTCCTCAGGCAGGACGGTGCCTGGTTGGTGTGAGGAGAAGGGATACTGAGGACCTGGTGGGTGGGGGGCGTAGGAGATGAAGACCCAGAGGTGGTGGGGGTGGGGTGGGCTGGGGACAAGCCTGGGCAAACAGGAATAAAACCCCAAGTCAGTTCACAGTGAGTGGTCTGTTACCCAAAGCTGCTGGACTCCCACTTCCCGTGGAAGGAAGCCCCAGTCCCTCCCCACCCAGTTTGCCCCACCTCTTCCTCCCCAGCGCTGGGCTCTGGGCACAGGGGCTTCCAGCAGGCCCAGCTGGCCTGGGCCCGAGGCCTTTGCCCTGCTGTCCCGCTCGCAGCTCCCCTCCCCAGCCTCTCAGCACCTCAACACATGGCCCATGTTTCCTGCTCAGCTGGGGCGGGTCCAGGTCCAAAGCCCTGGAGCCCACAGTTTGGAGGCCCTGTGAGGGCAAAATAGTTAAGAGACCAGGGAGACAAAGCCAGGCCAGGGTCTTGGCAGGCCCCGGGCCAGGGAGGGTTCTCAGAGCTCACCACCGCCAGACTCGAGCAATGCTGACTGTCCCCTCAGCCTTGTGTGGCGGCCCGAGTGCCCACATGTGCCGCTGACTTCGGAAGGGGGATGACATCTCCCAGTCTGGGCTGCCCGCACGAGCGCCATTGTGCCAGGCAGCGCCCCGGTGTCCAGCCCCGACTGGAGAGTGACCTTACGTAGGGAGCCCCTCACCCAGGCCTGAGTTCCCTGGCATCTGTGCGACGAGGGTGGGGTCCTCGGCGGACCTGGGATTTCCTTTCCCTGTGGACCTCACTCCCCCTGGGACCCCCACACCTCTGGCCCATTCCTCCTCACCTCTGCCCCCTGCTGCCAGGCGAGACCGCTAAATTCGTCTCTTGCTGCCAGCCACCATGGGACCTTGGGGTGCCCCCGGTGTACAACAGAGATGCTCTTCGTCAGGGCCCCAGAGTGGGGGAGGAACGAGGCTGGGGCTTGGGAGGCGCCCCCCCCACCGATGCCTCCAGCGCAGGCCCCAACCCCATCCTCGAAGGGCTCCCAGTCTGGAGGGCGGTGGGCCCAGGGAAGGGGTGGGCAGCCTGTGCCCCAGAATGAAGGCACGCCCAGCCCTGCCCCTCTGCCTCAGCGACTGGGACCCTGAGACAGACACCGGGTCCTGAGTCTCCAGGCGTTTGCCAAAGATGATATCACTGGATCCGGTGACTTCCTGTCCTGCCCCTAGGGAAACTGAGGCAGCTCCAGCGGCTGCATCCAAGAATAGCCCCCAGGGGCACAGGGGGCCGAAGACTTGCCAGTGCTCATCAAATGCTCAGGGAGGGAAACATGCAGAGCCGTCTGCCCAGCGGCCCTGTTTGCTGGTCGGGCTTCGCCTAAAAGCACATGTGGGCAGCGTCCCTCGCTGGGGGCCTGGTCCCCTCTCCACACCACATGCCACCCCCTCCTGTCCCCCAAGGCGCTGCCTGCGGACAATCCCGCACTTTCTGTCTAGACAAAGAAACCAGCAGTCGTTCCCGAGCCCCAGGTGTGTGGGCGCCAGGGGTGCAGCAGGAAGGTGGGCGGAGCCCCAGCTGGGGTGCGGGTGGGGACACACACAGACTCCGAGCAGGGGACACCCTCACGTGCCCTCCAACATCAGGCCCCAGCCTCAGTAGCGTCCCCGGAGAGGAACCAGCCTCGTTGCCACCTTCTTCTGTGCTGGCAGAACCCCCGGACCCACGTACACTGTCAGTGACAACCACGTGGCCCAGTGAACAAGCAGGGATGTACATCCTTTGGACCAGTTTAGATGGGTGCCCAGGACCGAGGGCCCAGCGTGTCCAGCTGGGGGACACGAAGGACAGGCAGGGTATCCCAAGACCTCTGTGGACAGGGGCTCCCCTGACTTCCTGGGCCCCAGTGCCCTCAGGGGTGTGCACGTGGTGCCCTCTGGTGGTGGCTGGAGGGAATGACTGGCCAGCCGCAGCCCCTAGCCCCAGCCCCAGGGCTTCGGGGCCCAGCGGCCTCAGTTCCTGTGAACTGGGAGGCACCTCCTCCAGGTTGTGCGGTGCGAGGTCCCCGTAAAGGAACCCCTACTCTCCCCGTGGGCACTCAGGGAAACCAGACCTGCGGGTGACTCTCGTGACACACCTGGTCAGCGGACAGGGGGCAGCCTGGTCCACCCCACCCCCGCCCCTCCCCAGCCCCTGTCCCGGGGCTGTGCGACTTGCAGGGAAGAGGCCCTCTCCGTCCCCCCTCAGAACCCACTGGGCCTCGAGCCGGTGGCCAGTGGGCCAAGTCTGAAGTCTCTCAATTCTTGAGGCTTTGGTATGTTGGGATTTGTTTTTGCCAACATTGAAAAACGCAGACTTCACACGCGAGCCCAGATTTCTGGCTTCTCTGGAGAGTTAGGAAGAGCTGGCCCAACACTCTGAGACCCCTGCCTCCCCCGACCAGCAGGTGGCTTGAGACC